CCGCGTGAGTGTTTTGATGTGAAAATCACTAGCTTGTAAGCCTGAAAACAAGGAGGTTCAAATTTGGGCGGTTGTTTTTCGTCTAAGTTCAAAATTCAGCTTTCACGTGCCGATACGCGGAATTTTTAGTGAGAAATTTCGCAACTTAGGGAACAGAATTTCACAGCAAAAATCCTCAGTAGGCAAAAGCCAGCACTACATATCTACGCAAAACGCATGATCACACCGGCTACTCTGGTGCACACCGCTACTTATAATTCCTTGTTTTGAATAGGTGGACCCGTTCACTTCAATTTCGGCTATCGAAAGATATTTGCTTGATCGTGGAATCGGTTATGTGCGTGGAGAAGATTCGTCTGGTGATGAAGACGGTAGCGATGATGATGAAATGCCCTCTGTAAGTGGTAATTTCTAATGATGATTGAGTGTCTTTTTTGATGTGCGGAATTCTAAGGACTTCAGAGTTTCAGGAGGGGTCGTTGTCTGGATCGACTGCCCAACCGAACCGCATCGAAATCCTCATAAACGACGAAAGAGTGCCAGGGCACATGTCAATCCTTCAAGTAATTTCCTCTACTTCTGTAACTATACGAACAGTCAGGCGAATTGCTTAGTTGCGTATGCGATATATATTTGACGAGAAAACAGAATTTGACGGGAAGGATATGTCGCTAGTCTACAAAACAATTGGTGAACCTCGCATATTAACGAGAAATGGGGTGGTTACTCAGATACCCTCCATGGGAATGGAGCACACGCTGTGATCCTGCGGGGAGGTACCGGTTAGAAGAGCTAAGCGAAACAGAATGGAAAAGCCTGGGTCTGTTAGCCTCTCCCACTGGCTTCAGGAAAGTTGGCTTATCCCACATTAGTGGTCTGAGCGATCCTGCTACGTATTTCTGTACTTTGAACAGCTGCTGTTTCATCCTTATGCAGTAAGAAACGCCTCTATTCAAAACTCTGAGACGTTTTTAAGTACGTGGTTTTGTTGTTCTCTTTATGATTTTCCGTTAGATGGATGGATTTTTTTTACAGGCACTACGTCAATACGGACAGGTTAATTTGGGCGATAATCCTGACCAGTTGGCTGTTGCGACAGGATTATGGGTGAATACCCACACACTTTACTACAGGGCAGCTGCTCCAGTGCCGCCTGATGCGTCTTCGTCATTGCAAGAATCAGCAGCAGCTGCAGCTTCAGGCCACAAGGCGCCCGTCACTAAAAATGAAAAGCGAGAAAAAAGGACCAAAATTGACGAAAAGTTGTGGATTGGTTAGTGATTTTTTTCCTTTTTTTTACTTAATTTGTGTTGTAGCAAGTTGATGTCTTTTTATCTGTTAGTGTGTTTATCTGCTCAAGGACTGTAGAATTTTTTTAAATTTGAATTTTGTTAATACCAAGAGGGCCGAAATGTGCTGGAGCAGTCGATTTGGAAATCTCATATTAGTGTTGTTGCTGGATTGCACTCTTCGACCTATGTAACGGAGGGGAGCTGGAGATGGGACCTGCCTGACAGACAAGGGCAACACCAAGTAAAATTTATTTATTAGATCAGTATCAAAGAAAATCAAAAAAGAAACAACTAGCCAGAAGTCGCCCGGCAGCAGCTCCAAGCTGCCACCGGCCACACACGAAAAGATTTACAAGCGGCTGCAGCTCCATGCTGCCGCCGCACACATTCAGCAGCCGCCCCAAAAAAACCGGTAATTACATACTCAACATTTCATTTTCAATTATCACATTAAATATCACGGAGGGGGGAACTCGAGCCAAGAAACGGGGCATTTACATATTACAGGAAACCGAAGGTCAACTGGACAAGGCGAAGGGGATTGAGCCTCCAACTTCGCTTCTTTGCTTTTCGCTCCTTCTACCTTTTGCAACACCTGCATACCACGCGATCAGTTTAGTTTTGGTGATTTGTAATTGCCAGATGTGCCAGCAGATGATCGCGAAACCAATTTTTTCTTGTACAGAGATACATTTTTTGCTTTCACAACGTTCGATCACTCAGACGCATAATTTTACCTGCAAGAGCTGTTTAGATGGAGAAGTACCAGCACGAGAATGCCCGCTGGATCGCTTTCTGACGGACACATTGCCAGTTGATATCGACGACGCGTGCGTACCTTCCCTGGTTCTTTTGCGATGCCTCTACGCTCTCAATCGTTTCTGGTGGACTCTTTTTGATGACGAGGAGGTACCACCGACCAGTCATGCTCCCCTCCTCTCCAGCACGTGTGTTTTTTCTTGTTAACTTTCAAAAGTGTACGAGGGTTGCACCAAAAATAATGCAGTTGTGGCCTTCGTGGATTGTTCTAACTGTGCTTGCTGTTAGATTTACTCTCCCCCTCTCTCTCTCTCTTTCTCTTCAAAGACCACATGTAGCCTCCAACATACAAATGAAGCACTTTTTATGCGTTTTTTGCAGCTATGCAGTGCAGAAAACGCATATTGACGAGGGGTTGTCTGTGTGTCCGTGTGTGCGTCCGTCACGGTTTTTCATCTCAAGACCTACAACTGCAGGGCTGAAACTTTGGGAACATAATTTACACACACGTACGGGCCCCAATCCCCAAAATTGGTGCCATTACCCACGTGGTACCCGTGTACGGGCCCGCCAAAATTTTTTTCGGGTAAGTTCATAGCCTGGGTACGTGAGAATCTAGAATGCTGAAATCTTAGGAGAATGTTCACCGTCCAAGGGGGTATTAGTGAGCTCAAACCCAGCCCCCGAGTAAGTGTGGTACCCGCGTACGAGCCTGCCAAGATTTTTTTCGGGTAAGTTCATAACTCGGGGACTTGAGAAGCTAGAACACTGAAGTCTTAGGAGGATGTTCCCCGTCCAAGTGGGTGTTGTGCGCTCAGACCCAACCCCGGGTAAGCGTAGTACCCGCGTACAGGACCGCCAAAGTTTTTTTTGCGCAAGCTGATAACTCGAGTACCTCAGAAGCTAAAGAATTTTAATTTTAAGAGGATATACCCTGTACACCTAAGTTTCAGCTTAAACCTAACTCTTGGGTACACGTGTTAAACTCGCACGTGCCCATGAAAATTTTTTTCCAGTTAGTTGCTAGCTCAGGGGCCAGGGAAGCTGGAAAGGTGAAATTTTAAGGGAGGTGTTTTTCGACAGTTCTGGCGGCCAGTCTTAATTTGTTTAGCTATAAGCATTTGCCGAAAAAGCCGGTGCCGGTAGCAACAAAAACTGCGGGGAACTGTGCAAAATACGCATCTTTGCACGGGCAGCCCGTGCGTTGGCCAATTGTTTTCTATCGTTTAGTTCAATTTTGCA